CTCTCCTTCTCTCCATCTCTCCTCTCTCCCCTCCTCCCTCTCTCCTCCACTCCTCCATCTCTCCTTCATCTCTCAATCTGTCCTCCCTCTTTCCTCCGTCTTTCTTCTCTCCATTTCTCCTCCATCTCTCCATCTCTCCATCTCTTCCAGTCGTATCAGAGTGTGTGTGTTTGTGTGTGTGTGTATGTGCATTGGACGGGGGCAGAGCGGTGACTCGCTGCCCCCAGAGCGGCTCTCGAGGCTGGGGTGAAATCGCACGGACGTGGGGGGAGGGTGAAGCTGCTGGTGGAGCTGGTGGAGGTGGAGCTGGTGGAGGTGGAGCTGGTGGTGGTGGAGCTGGTGGTGGATGGTGGAGCTGGTGGTGGAGGTGCTTGTGGTTATCGTAGCGTCTACTTGTCGCCTTAACCTTGACTCTGTGCTCTGCTTTTGAAATTCTAATCAGAGACAATGTGGTTTGTCTGTCCGTGTCCTGCAAAAACAAATATTTAGAGACGTTAAAATGTCTTAAATTGTCTTGAATCAAACGCTTTTCTTCTTGGAGAGGTTATTGCTTTGTCTGGAATGTTTCACCTCTGTTCACAGCTCATTTACATATCAGTGCGTGTTCAGTAACGACAGCTGCTTTCTGTAGTCACTTTACAGTCGACAAGTGTAAGAAAACAGACTGTATGTGTGGGAGCTACAGCAGAAGTGCAAACCAATAAGAGAGAACGAAAAGTAGCTTCAAAACTGTCACATTTGCAGCCTTCAGTCTCACACAGGCTCCTCTCAGATCACAAGTCTGCACCAAGAAGTGTCGTTTTAATTCCTGGCTCAAAACAAACGTCCCTAAAAATAATATAATCCAATAGGGGCAGGCAATATCTTGATTTTTAAAATATGTCGACATTTTTTTAAACACAAAATTGATTCTGACGTAATGAGTTTATTGATATAATGCTTATATTTAATTCTGAAGGACTGAGCTGTTTTTTTCTGCGCTTTTTGTTTCATTTTTGTAAAACGTAAACAAACTTGCAAAGCTGAATTAAACACGTTATGATGATGTGGTTCTGGTTTTTATGTGTAGTAATGTAAAATATATTTATGCAGAAGATTTTAATTGAGAATCTGCTGCAGTGTCACTTGACCAATAGTGTTTGGAAACATTAAGTTTGATCTGCAGTGGATTGTGGGAAACCTCAGAGCTCCTCACACTGATGAGAAACATGGATCTGTTAAAATAATGAACCTTCCGAGCTTCCTCTGCTGAAGGAGCTCATGGTTCTGGTTCTCGTACGGTTATCAGAGTGTTACAGCCCCAGGCCTTAATTTGTAATGTGTTTTGTGCGTTTTAAAATATTTTGGTGGAACATCTTGATTCCCGCTGTGGGAGACCTGGCTCGTGATTGGTGGGGCATGTCTACGCCCACCTCACCTGCAGATTCCGCCCCCTATTTAAGAAGATTGCTTGCACCTGATTGGGGCTGCTGGTCTTGGTGGCCCGTCTGCCATTTTGTGTTTGTGTTCATGTTCGTGTGTGTTTAGGTCTGTAGTTTAGTTCTGTTTTGTGCCTTTTTTTTTTTTAAATTTGGTCACTCGATTCTGTTTGTGGGCTCACGTGGTTTAATTTGGGGTAATTGTGTTTTAGTTTTGTGTGTGTGTCCGTTAGTTTAACCACTTGTTTGTGTAAACCTGCGTGACCCCTTTTCTGGCACAAAACTCGTTGTCTGTTGTTTTTGTTTCTTAGTTGAGGTTATTTTCTGTATATATTTAGTATTGTTTTGTTGACTTACCTTTACATTCCTGTTAATTAATCATTATTTAATTTATTCCATTTTACATCTTGGTTTTGTTTTTGTTACTTCCCTCACCCCAACGAGCTGGGTCGTAACACAGAGTTAAAGGTTGTATGGAGGATTTTTTTTGTTTCAAATTGTCAGTGATAGATTATAGAGATGCAGGAGCCTTGTAATTATGATGACCAAAAAAAAGACAATAAAAATTCATCAACTCTGGACGTGGTGGGGCTAAACATTTGCCAATAGATAACGACACTGCCTCGTTATCTGTGAGCTGACAGGCTGTCAATCAAACTCCCTACGTGGTTTACGTACGACTGTCACTCAGTCCACAGACGCAAGATGCACAGACGCCGTTTACTCCACCAACGCAACAGTTCTTACCGGCTTTTTTTGACCTATATCTTCCTCGCAGTTCGCACAAAGTTTGTTGCAATGGCGACAAGAATCCAGGAGCAGTTCGCCGCAAAAGAAAGTCCGTTTTTGAGGTCGCTGAAAGAAGAAGACAAGGGGAAAAGCAGCGAAGCCAAACTAAGGTGATTCTTGAAGATTCATTCCAGCGATGGCGCGACTGAAGCAGAGGAGGTGTTTCTACGTAGGAGCTGTAGGGGAGGGGGGGTGGTTTCACACATGCGCAACATTTGAAAAAGGACAAACAGTCGCTGGATTTCTCGTTCCTTGGAAAATCCTCTATACAACCTTTAATGCAAACATGAGCTTGAGTTGAGTTGTTTTATTTTTGAATGAAACGAGGGAAATATGTTTTATTTCTCCCGTTATTTTACAGTTAAATTATTATTTTAGTGTACAGTAAATGTCGGAGAAGCACTTTGTTCCTGCATGAACTGTCAGCTCTCAGCACTTCAGTAAAAAAATATCTTGTAGAATTTGGCTGGTTTGTTTTTATAGTAGTTTTTGGGGTGTTATTATTCCTGAGACATATATCGTGTATCAAGATTTAGCAAAATATATCCAGATAAATATTTTTTTGCGCTGTAATCCAGCATGTTGACAGCAGCTCTGTGTGTCCTCTCTCTATTGGACAGCGCTCTCTTCTCCGCACTCGCACTTTGATAAAAAACAACAGTAGTTTTGTTTCTGGCCTAAACTGCGCTGAAGTTCACTATTATTTATCATCAGTATCAAACACAAAAGCTCTGACTCTGGTGGTGCGTTCAGGGGCAGTACGGCATCACACACACAAACAAATTATTCCTCTGATAAATACTGATGCGGAGCCACAAATAGAAATATTTATCTGTCTGTAAATTGGATTAAATTGACACAATATAGAGAGTCTAAGCTTTATAAGGAGGTGTAACATGCCCACGTTTATTATCAACAAATATCAGCTCGATTTAGACCTGTCATACTGGCCAAACGATACATCAGTCGGGCCCTAATCTCCATAGAAACAAGAAATTACAGAGTGCAAAGAGATGATATTTTTCTTAAGTTCGGCGAGATGTATTTTCATATTTTAAGTACAAAAAGTCGTGTTCCTTTGGTGGATAATTTTACTTGTCAAATTAAATGTGCTCAGATCACGATAAAACGACATGTTAACTTGGCCAGAGTTTAGTTTTTGCCGTGTGTGTGTGTGTGTGTGTGTACTACAGTAATAAAGATAACAGATTTTTGGTGTGTGTTTTAGACTCTGAATAGTCTAGATAACAATAACGATTATCAAAAAATACAATAACCTAAAATCAGCTATTTGTAAAATGTTAAAGGGCCCATATTACACTGTTTTCTCGTCTGTTATAATGTTGTTTTCTCTTCACAAACAGACCTGGAGTTGTGTTTTTTTGTTTCATTCACACATGTTTAACACACAAATCCTGCACATTTAGGCTGTTTTAGTTCTTCTCTCAAACAGAAAACACTGTTCCACCTCGTGATGATGATGATGATGGAAGAGTTACTCAAATATGTCGCAATAACCGTAAAAATGAATCACCGCGGTACATGTTGGGCCACCGTGATCACCGCACGAGACCAACGTGACCCGACCCAAAGTCCTGCACGGGTCCATTTGTAGAGACCCGCACCCGCCCGAACCCGATAACATTCCACCTGTTACCGCCCGTGCCCGTACTAACCCAGGACTAACCCAGGAGTAACCCAGGACTAACCCAGGACTAACCCAGGACGAATCCTAGACTTACCCAAGACTAACCCAGGATTAATCCTAGACTAACCCAAAATTAACCCAGGACGAACCCAGGATGAACCCAGGACGAACTGACCCGACCCGGTGCAGGACTGTGACCCGACCCGGTGCAGGACTGTGACCCGACCCGGTGCAGGACTGTGACCCGACCCGGTGCAGGTCTCTGACACGACCAGGTCCAGGACTCTGACATGACCAGGTCCAGGACTCTGACCCGACCCGGCGCAGGACTCTGACCCGACCTGGCGCAGGACTCCCCGAGGCGCACCCGACCCGGCGCAGGACTCTGGCCCGACCCGGCGCAGGACTCTGCCCCGACCCGACCCGACCCGGCGCAGGACTCTGACCCGACCCGGCGCAGGACTCTGACCCGACCCGGCCCAGGACTCTGACCCGACCCGGCCCAGGACTCTGACCCGACCCGGCGCAGGACTCTGACCCGAGCTGCCGCAGTGAGCGCTGGAGAGATGCAGCGACACTTGTTCCAAAGCCAAACGTTACTTCTACACACTCTGTATCCACACAACAACCAAGACACACGTGCATCTTCAACAAGAGCATCATCAGAGAGTTTTCAGAGCCGCTGGAAATATTATAACTCCAGGGGATGTGCGGTGGGGGAGGGGGTGCGATATCACCGCATATCGCGCTGTTGAGCCGCTAAATCGCACCGCAGGAGAAATTCCCTAACCCCGACAGCCCTAGTGTGAATGAAACAAAACACAACTCCAGCTCTGTTTTTTTTAGAAGGAAACAACATTTGAACAGGACTTAAAGCTCACAAGAATCCATTTTGTGTAATATTGGACTTTTTAATTTGACTTAAACAAAGAATGTACAATTTTAACTCCGTGTAGGTGTAATTTTTAAGAATTGTAATGCCCCTGACCTCATCTTGCTTCAGCTGAAATGACATTTTTTCACAAATTGCAAAGAAATAAAGCTTTCGATTAAAACACATTCCAATTTGTCATGTTTTTTTCATAAATAACAAAAAAAGTACTTGTGGTAAAGAGTAAATAATGTTGTTCTTTATTCTTTGACAGATATCAGAAGCTGTGGAAGAGCTACGTGAAACTGCGCCACCTGCTGGCCAACAGCCCCAAGGTCAAACAGATGGACAAACAGAAGCTCACCCAGAGAGAGGTAAGACCGACTTTGGGTTTGTAAATCAGAAATGTCGACAATTTGTTTACTAAATGTGGTAAATGTATTTTTACTGGTAATACTCTGGGATCCTCTGGGGTTGTTATTGGGTTTTAGTCCGGGTTTAGTCCTAGTTCAGTCCTAGTTTGGTGTTGGTTTAGTTCTGGTTCAGTCTTGGTTTATTTTTTACTTAGTACCAGTTGAGACTTGTTTTAGTCCTTGTTTAGTCCTCGTGTTCACTCCTGGTTCAGTCTTGATTCAGTTTTTGTTCAGTCCAGGTTCAGTACTGGTTTAGTCCTTGTTTAGTCCCAGGTTTTGTCTTGGTTTTGTCTTAGTTCCGTTGACCTTCTGTTTCGGTTCAGCTCTGTTTTAGTTCTGCTTCAGGCCTGTTTTGGTCCTGGGTCAGTCCTAGTTTGGTGTTGGTTGAGTCCTTGTTGAGTCCTTGTTGAGTCCTTGTTTTTGAGTCCTTGTTGAATCCTGATTGAGTCCTTGTTGAGTCCTGTGTTGAGTCCTTGTTGAGTCCTGATTGAGTCCTTGTTGAGTCCTTGTTTTGAGTCCTTGTTGAATCCTGATTGAGTCCCGGTTGAGTCCCGGTTGAGTCCCTGCTGAGTCCTTGCTGAGTCCCGACTGAGTCCTTGTTGACTCCTGATTGAGTCCTTGTTGAGTCCTGATTGAGTCCTTGTTGAGTCCTGATTGAGTCCTGATTGAGTCCTTGTTGAGTCCTGATTGAGTCCTTGTTGAGTCCTGATTGAGTCCTTGTTGAGTCCTTGTTGAGTCCTGCTGAGTCCCGACTGAGTCCTTGTTGACTCCTGATTGAGTCCTGATTGAGTCCTTGTTGAGTCCTGATTGAGTCCTGATTGAGTCCTTGTTGAGTCCTGGTTGAGTCCTTGTTGAGTCCTTATTGAGTCCTTGATTGAGTCCTTGTTGAGTCCTGATTGAGTCCCTGTTGAGTCCTTGTTGAGTCCTGATTGAGTCCTTGTTGAGTCCTGTTGTGTTGAGTCCTTTGAGTCCTGGTTGAGTCCCGGTTGAGTCCTGTTGAGTCCCTGTTGAGTCCTTGTTGAGTCCTGATTGAGTCCTGATTGAGTCCTGTTGAGTCCCTGTTGAGTCCTTGTTGAGTCCTTGTTGAGTCCTTGTTGAGTCCTGGTTGAGTCCTGGTTGAGTCCTGGTTGAGTCCGGTTGAGTCCCGGTTGAGTCCCTGTTGAGTCCCTGTTGAGTCCCTGTTGAGTCCTGGTTGAGTCCTGATTGAGTCCTTGTTGAGTCCTGATTGAGTCCTTGTTGAGTCCTTGTTGAGTCCTTGTTGAGTCCTTGTTGAGTCCTTGTTGAGTCCTGATTGAGTCCTTGTTGAGTCCCGGTTGAGTCCCGGCTGAGCCCCGGTGCTTCTCTGGCTGCTTCTCGTTTCTCGTCATGAAGTTTAACAATGATTTTCTAAAGCACAAAAGTAAACACGTCACTGTAAAAGAAGATGACATGTTTGTCCACAAAACTGCAACGATTTTTCAAGCAAGTCCTTCTAGTCACAGAACTTCAGGGCAAATAAACCAGAAAGAATAAAATTTAAAATTAAAATACGCACCGAGACAGAATTAAACTTAATTCCGAAGCAAGTGGGTGGTTTATTCTGAATTTATTTCTCCTTCGATCATGTAAACGTTTATTCTTCTTAAAAATAAAAACAAAAACAAAACAAAACACTCAGGTAAAAGTAAAAGTAACACATGGAAAAATGTATTATAATATTTTGGTAAAGGGTCAGTCACCTTACATGAGAGCTTTAATTCTGAATAAAAATAATTTAATTCTGGAAAAAAAATTTTTTAAATCCGCTTTAAAAAGTCCTGATGAAAACGATTATTCAGAATTAAACTTAATTCCGAAGTAAGTGAGTGTTTTTTTCCGATTTTAAAGCCGAATTAATTTATCCCTCGATCATGTAAACATTTAATCTTTTTAAAAATAATCCCGGTTGTTCGGCGCATGTTTGTTGGCTCCACCAGTCCTGGCTTCGGACTTTCCTCCACGTCTCTTTGGATTTGTGAGCGGGATGCGGGAGTGGGCTGAGGTTTTATCTTCTTCCTCCCTTCTCCGACGCTCTTCCCTTCTCCTCCTCGGCCGACAGACGTAAAGCGTGACGAGAGAATTATCTTCGGGACGACCACGGGAAAAGTTTGCGTTTCGCGTCTGTGTCCGTGACGCGACGACAAACCGAGACGACAGAAAATCCGGGAGCAGCTGAAGTGTTTGCGTTTTCTTCGTTGGCGTCTCTGTCCGATCAGAACCTTCCCCACCCCCAGACGCCGAACGGAATTAAATAAAGACGAGTTTTCCGTGGATTCAGTTAATTCGGAATTAAAACATGATGTAAACGTGGTCATTAAAGTCCATCCCAGTGCTCTCTTTGTGTTCAGATTGAGTCGTGTATCTGCTCCGTCGTACCTCTTGTATACCTCCTCCTCCTCCTCCTCCTCCTTTAGTCCCAGAGGCTCGGGTGTGCGGTCCTGTTCCGGAGGTCCCTGTCAGCTCGTAATGAAGACGCGCCGGCCGCTCAATTAGCCCGTTTCCCAGGTAGCGGAGTGGAAAGCGGTAAAGCTAACAGCGGCTGACAATCCCACTGTCAACTCCCTCCACAGCAATTAGTGAACTCCAAACACGCTCACCGGCCGGAGCGCGGGGGCCTGACGAGTCGATACGGGAAGCGACTCGGACGGACTCTAAACCTGCACTGCGGAACTTTTCTGCTCACGTATCCATATGGAGATAACAATTTGTGATATGTTTTTTAGTAAACTCGCCTCATCTCTCGAGTCAGATCCTCACACTTTTACAAATAGTCGAGTAGCCGAAGTCTTAAAAATGGATTGAACCTGACATCGTTTGCCATACGTTTTATTTGTGTGTTTTTGTTTTTTTTGTTAAATGTGACCCTAAGGACCGATAATTGAAGGGTCTGCTCTTCCGTAAATATCGCAAAAAAAAAAAAAAAAAAAAAAAAAAAGTGACCTTCATTTTTTGATAAAATATTCTGAACAACGAAAATTTCCTGAAATCCTCAGTGGGTTGGGTAAAGTGTCAATAAATGCATTCCAGATGTAAAGAACACACGTGGTGACAACATTCAGTGAAAAAATAATTCCTGAAACACATTTCTACGTGATTTTGGCTCAATTTAATGCAAAAAAATAAGGTGTTTTTTCACTGAATGTTGTCACCACATGTGTTCTTTACATCTGGAATGCATTTATTGACACTTTACCCAACCCAGTGAGGATTTCAGGAAATTTTCTTTTTTTTTTTGCGATATTTCTGGAAGAGCAGACCCTTCAATTATCGGTCCTTAGGGTCACATTTAACAACAACAACAAAAAAACACAAATAAAATGGATGGCAAACGATGTCAGGTTCAATCCATTTTTGAAACTTTGGCTACTCGACTATTTGTAAAAGTGTGAGGATGTGGCTGGAGAGATGAGGCGATTTTACCAAAAAACATATCACAAATTTTTATCTCCACATCGATACGTGAGCAGAAAAGTTCCGTAGTGCAGGTTTAAAGTCCGTCTGAGTAGCCAAAGTCTCAAAAATGGATTGAACCTGACATCGTTTGTTATACATTTTGTGTTTTTGTTTTTTTTGTTAAATGTGACCCTAAGGACCGATAATTGAAGGGTCTGCTCTTCTGGGTCCATTTTAGTGTTTGTGACCTTCATTTTTTGATAGAAAATTTTGAAAAATGTAAATTTCCCGAAATCCTCAGTGGGTTGGGTAAGCTGTCAGTAAATACATTCCAGATGTAAAGAACACACGTGGTGACAACATTCAGTGAAAAACTAATTTCTACATGATTTTGGCTCATTTTCCAAAGTCCAGGTCGTCTCTTGGCCTCATGTCATTTCGAGGTGCTGCTGCTAATGACTGGAATTTGGCTCAAAGCTCACTTAAACTGGACTCCTTCATTTCTCTTTCTGCTTTTAAATGTAAACTGAAGGTAATATTTAAAGACACGTGTAAATGTTTTACTAATGAAACGAAAGGAGATTTTTAGAGACTGATGTAAATGTTTGTTTTATGTTTTAATGAATTATGTTGAGTGTCTAATTGTTTTAACTCCCCATCCCTTGGCTGCTCTGACATGCCCAGGCCAACATTGTAAATAAGAATTTGTTCTTAATGTTTTGCCTGGTAAAATAAAGGTTAAATAAATAAATAAACTAGAAAAGCAGTCAGAGAGCGCAGACCTCCGCCAAGGACTACCCCCATTTTTTATATAAATTGCGATAAAATCAGTCTTCTGGATCAGATCCGGATCAGCCTTTGGAATATGAAAGAGGATCCCATTGTCCATCCCTGAGTCAAATTTCATGGGGTTTGGTCAATAATTAACCGAGATATTGAGAAACAACATTTTTGGCCCCATTTACCACAATGTTAACTAAAATTTCAAAGTGATCCAGAATCCAGGATTTCTTCCGGATCAGCCCCAAAATGAAATCAGTTCTTCCTTTTCACATTTCCAACAAATCCTGAAAATTTCATCAAAATCGGTCCATAACTTTTTGAGTTATGTTGCTAACAGACAAACAAACAGACAGACAAACAAACAAACAGACAAACAAACAAACAAACAAACAGACAAACCAGACAAAAACATAACCTCCTTGGCGGAGGTAATAAATTTAATGCAAAAAAAAAAGGCGTTTTTTCACTTTTTTCCAGTATTTTCATCTTTACCTCATTGGCAGTCAGCTATTCACCCAAGTTTTGACATAAGCCAATATGTCATTATTTTCCCCAAACAGTAAACTCATTTCACAGAAAAAAAAAAAAAAAAAAATCCAACCAAAATCAATGGATCTGTGATGATTTCATTACTAGTTGGCCGTCAACAGACCCGGAACCTCAATAGAATGTTAGGCAACTCTCAACATTCTGAAATCACATTGGTAGAGTTGATTGTCAATGAGGTAAAGAGGAAAATCATGTAGAAATGTGTTTTAAGAATTATT